TTGTTGCTAATTTGTTTTAATATTTGTAATTCAGCATAATAAACATATTCACCTCCTTCTACGTATTGTTAGGGTCGAATTACGTAACTTTCACCGGTGATTTGTGTATTGATTATGTGTTTTATGAAATAAGATTTAGCCCCTATTTGAGTCATATTAAAATTTTTATTCTCATTTTTCTACTCATTTTTAATCACATATTTTTCAATAAAATAATATTTTTCATCATATCAATAAATTTTTCTTCTTTTTCAACCACACATTATCCATCAATTTATTATTCCAAAATACATTATTTCAAAATAATATGGTTCAAACACACCCTTAAATTAGAAAAAGATAATTATAAATAGACGATATGTTAAATAAAAGAAATAATAGAGATGGAAACAGTTGATTTTTAGAGAGACAATAAATGTTTTTCTAAAATCGTAATGACCTCATTTCGTGTAAGAATTCACAGCTCGATATGAATCTTAAGACAAAATGTAACGACCCAACATTGAGTCGGAGTCGTTATCATATTGTACGTACTGTCCGTTTTGGGAAAGCCTAGACCCATCTTACCCCTCACGGCTTTCGACGTGTCCCCAGGATTCGAATCTAATACCTCCATCATATGGGAGATTTAAGTTGAATCCTGATACCAATTGAGCAACGATCTGACCTCGCGCCAGAGCCGTTATCATAACATACATATTGTCTGTTTTGGAAGAGCACTTGCCCAATTGGTATCAGGATTCAACATAAATCTCCCATATAATGAATGTCTTGGGTTCGAATCCTGGGGGACGCGTCGAAAGCCGTGAGGGGTGAGATCGACCTAGGCTTTCCCAAAACGGATAGTTCGTAAGATATGATAACGATTTCGGCGTAATGTCGGGTCGTTACACAAAATATTTTTGAACTTAGCCCCCGTTTGGTGCACATTTTTGAAAAAAAAAATGTATTTTTACTGTTGATATGATGGTGAATATGTAGTTAAAAAAAAGGAAAAATTATTGATGTGATGAAAAATAATATTTTATTAAAGAATGTGTGGTTAAAAATGAGTAAAAGAATGAAAATGAAAAAAATAATGTGGCTCAAACAGGATCTTATAATGGCATCTCTTATTGATTATTTATTCACGTTTTTCATTAGAAAATAACCAAATTTCTCAAATTTCATGTGCTCGGCCTCTCAAATCTCATAAACATTTTTTTAAGGGAAAGAAGGATTTCATCCTTTTATTTATTTTATTTTATAAGGGGAGGGTCGATCGAAGCTAGGTCATGAATCTGATAGGACTTCATTTTTACTACTCGAGCTATATCGACCACCAAAATAAAACTGAAAAGTAATACAATTAAAGTAAAATCATGAAACTATGAAAGGTTTTAGGTTTAAAGCTTTCTTAAATGTTGGTTACAATAGGTTTTGAAGCCCCTTTGTCTAGCCTAGGTGTCTTGGTCACATTCTTAATTAGGCTTGATTGGCCATGCTCTTCAACTTGACACTTCTCAATATGCATTTCAACGTGAATGTCATCGAACATATATGTACACTACGGCCCTTTGATCTTATGAGTACGAATTGTGTTGTCAAGGGATGTCAATAGATCTTATTATTCTACGCTTAAACGAGAGATGCAACAAAACTTGTTCGATAAGATAAATTCAAGTTAATTTTTAAGAAAATTTTTAGCTGGGGTTTACAATTTTCAATTAATCTACTTGTACAGATGATGTTTACACTTCTATTGACAAATCAAGGGTTAAAATGCATGACACATCATTATCCGTCGAACTAATTGTACATGTAGCATAACTCATGGGTCTCAACCTTCTACGTGGCGCCCATGCTTTCAACTTATGAAAAGGTTCGAGTGTCATTTGGTGACACAGCCTATGAAAAGTTAACTTTTCTTAAAATGATAATTATACCCTTATATTTTCATAAACAAAAACTCGAGAATGACAAAGAGCCTGATCCCACTTCACATCTGGAAGTTCAAAGAAAAAGAGAACAAAAGGCAACCCTATGATGTATGCTACTAACGTTGCACTTGCACTACATGTTGCATTGTGCAATAACGTTAAAATCATTACTTGTTCACATTAGATTAGTTGACTCGGGATATCTCAAATTATGCGACCTTATCCCAATAATGTTAAGCATTTGTTACCTGATATTAAATATGTTCGAATGCGCTATCTAATTCATCAAATGTAACAAGTTATTACTTCATCGTGTGTCGTAACATTACAAACAACGTGATTGATTAACTCTTCTCGCATTGTCGAAAGTTTGAACTTCCATATAAGAATTTTTTTAAAGTCAATTAGTCCATCATAAAAGACTTAGGCACATAATATGGCTTTACGTAAAAAAGAACCTAAAAACACTTCCTAATTAATTAAAAGCTGGAAGTAATTGAATATTTATTTGTTATAATTGAACAACTTTGTGTTAAAATTGATATAAATTTTTCAGCATCTCTTCATTATCCCAGCTTATCTGTTTCTCTTCGTCCTTTAACTCCATTTGTCCATTCAATTTCCACGATCATAAATTTTACAAGCCTTCCTCTCCTATATATATGTGCCCCCTAGTCTCGTTCAATCTCACAATCACAAAAATCTCACTTCGAAACTCGAAAAAACATCAACTATGGCTTACACTTCCAATCTCCTTGCAGTTATGCTGACTTTGTTGTTGGTATCGACCATGGTACCAGCACGTAAACTTGAGTCGACATCGACCCTTTTAGCGCGTCTTAAATTGGACGAAGAGGGGTCATCTTCATGTTGGGATGCAATGTTTGAACTCCAATCTTGTAGTGGAGAAGTGGTGTTGTTCTTTATCAATGGAGAGACACATCTCGGGCCGAGATGCTGTGATGCTATACGAATCAT